TGCAATACAGCCAATATAATCTGTTGCATTATTGTCCTGTTATCACTGGAAAGCTGCTTTGAAACAATCTGTATATAAGTGAACCTCATTCATGCATTCATTCATCCATCCACCCGTCCGTCCGTCCATTCAATCCATTTATTGTAATCTATATAAGTGCCTCATTCATTCTTGCATTTGTCCATCCATCCATCCATCTGTCCGTCTGTCCCTCCGTTCGTCCATCCATCCTTCCATTCCGTCCGTCCATTCGTCCATCCAATCCATGTATTGTAATCTATATAAGTGATTATATAGTGATTATTCATTCATGCATTCGTCCATCCATCCGTCCATCCATCCATCCGTCTGTCCGTCCATCCGTTCGTCCATCCAATCCACGTATTGTAATCCATATAAGTGCCTCATTCATTCATTCATTCATGCATTTGTCCATCCATCCGTCTGTCCGTCCATCCGTCCATCCAATCCATGTATTGTAATCTATATAAGTGCCTCATTCATTCATGCATTCGTCCATCCATCCGTCCGTCCATCCATCCGTCTGTGCGTCCGTCCGTTCATCCATCCAATCCATGTATTGTAATCTATATAAGTGCCTCATTCATTCGTCCATCCATCCATCCGTCTGTCCGTCCGTCTGTCCGTCCGTCCATCCAATCCATGTATTGTAATCTATATAAGTGCCTCATTCATTCATGCATTCGTCCATCCATCCGTCCGTCCATCCATCCGTCTGTGCGTCCGTCCGTTCATCCATCCAATCCATGTATTTTAATCTATATAAGTGCCTCATTCATTCGTCCATCCATCCATCCATCCGTCCATCCGTCCGTCCATCCGTCCGTCCATCCAATCCATGTATTTTAATCTATATAAGTGCCTCATTCATTCATTCATTCATGCATTCGTCCATCCATCCATCCATCCGTCCGTCCATCCGCCTGTCCATCCAATCCATGTATTGTAATCTATATACAGTAAGTGTCTCATTCATTCATTCATGCATTCGTTCATCCATTCATCCGTTCATCTGTCCGTCCATCCATCCATCCATCCATCCGTCCGTCCATCTGTCTGTCCATCCAATCCATGTATTGTAAACTATATAAGTGCCTCATTCATTCATTCATTCATTCATTCATTTGTCCATCCATCTGTCCGTCCGTCCGTCTGTCCATCCAATCCATGTATTTTAATCTATATAAGTGCCTCATTCATTCATTCATTCATGCATTCGTCCATCCATCCATCCATCCATCCATCCGTCCGTCCATCCGCCTGTCCATCCAATCCATGTATTGTAATCTATATACAGTAAGTGTCTCATTCATTCATTCATGCATTCGTTCATCCATTCATCTGTCCGTCTGTCCGTCCATCCATCCATCCATCCATCCATTCGTCTGTCCATCCAATCCATGTATTGTAATCTATATAAGTGCCTCATTCATTCATTCATGCATTCGTTCATCCATCCATCCATCTGTCCGTCCATCCATCCATTCATCCGTCCGTCTGTCCATCCATCCATCCTTGAATTAACCCTTTAATTGTCAATAAATCTTTGTTTGAGCTGTATTTAGACATGCCAGATAGTAACAAATGTGCAAAAATGGCAAATCACTATTGGAAAATAAAAAAGAAAATTGTAATATTTAGTGTGACCTCCTGAGGTTGATTATCAACATTTGAAGGTTAGGACCTGCATTACTGAAATTGATTAGTTTTCTCAAGATGTCCTAATACAGTACCATTTGTTGAAAACGAATCAACACCTCTGGAACATGTGCCAAGCAATCAGCATCAAAAACTCAACAATGCTGTTGTATAACATACCATATATGCATGTACGATTTTCCCATCTTTTGCATTATGTATCATGCTGCTTCAGTTGATCAGGTCGTGACCAAGACGTGACCCAGTCTAAATGTGGTTGGTTTGCTGCTCTCTTTCTCAGCGTTTGGCAGATAGAGAGTAACTGTGTGGAGCTCTGAGACAGAGAGGAGAATGAATATGTCATTGTGAGTGTTGGGGTTTCATGTCCCCAGGCATCTGGTGCGGTGGGACCAGAGTGCAGCCAGACAGAGCAATCATCCCTGCATAGCCAAGACACGCTAATTGAGATGTAATAAGTTGGTAAATGAACCAAGCATGCTAATATATCTGTTTATCCATATGAGCTTTCGGTTGCCATCTCACAGAGGTGCAACTGTTTATTAAATGCTTTAAAAACGAAAAGCCCTTCTTTATGACAAGTAGCACACTTTTTAATACCACGCAATAGAACTAGCCGTGTGTATCGAAGCGCCAACCCCACACACAATGCCAAAAACAACCTTTAATTCGAAGAGGATTAAATGCAAGTGGCAGCGTAAGCCAAACGGAGGAAGTTTTAGCAAAAGTGGAACTCGACATGGCTTAGTTTTTATCCAGCGTTTAGAGGAGGTTAAGCCACATTGTCAACCTCTCATGAATAATTAGCTGTACTTGCTGCTGCGGTTTATAAAAGGAACTTGGTTGTCATCGTCCTCTAAGTAGAGGACAAAATGAGCATGGCACAACAAAAAAGGCTCCAGAGGACAGAGAAATAAGATGAAGATAAATGAGGCAATGTCAGACAAGATTTTAGCACAGGTCAATGTTTGAGTTCAGAGGATTTCAGAGCAGATTAAATGGCGTTGAGTATCAAATGCTAATTGGATAATTTGTTATTCTCCGAGGTTAACTTTTTAGATTATCCCAAGTTTAGTCCTATAGTCAAAAATACCATGGCATTTAGAAAACAGCCCCTTGAGCATCACAAACAAAGAAAAAATGCATCATTGAAGAAATCGGCTATGTTTCCCGAAACATAATGTCGCAATTTCAACCACGTTGACTTGTAATGGTGCGTTCACATCGGATGCGAATAGCGCGTCAGGCATGAATGATTTCTATGTTAACTCAATAGAAAGACGCGTCATGCACATAAAAAATTCCTGCTGCGCGAATGAGGCGTAGAGCGTGACGCAGTAGACACGAATATGCCTCATTCGCTCGTGAAGTTTGTGCGAATGCCGCGAATTGAACGTCTGGCGTGTTAAACGCGAATGATTTAGTTAGTGCTATTGGTGCATTCACGTGTTTGACGCGAATTTGCGTCTGCCGCCCGAGTTGAAAAATCTGAACTTTGGCGTCAATTCGCACCGTGTTAACCAATCAGGATCCTGCTGCTTGGTCACGTGGTGAAGGATCTGGATGCTTCAATAAATTATTTTGTAATATGACTAAATGCCTGGTGTGGATGTAATGCACAACAAAGCAAATATTTTGTCACTTAAAACTTTATTTCAATATACGAGACATGTTCATTTTGTATAAAATGTTATTTATTCCATATCTAGATTATATTTAATATTATTATGATGTAAAGACAACCAACATACATGTGCATAAGTTTGTGTCTGGACGTGAGAGAGAAAAAAATCACAGGACAGGTTAATAACTTTTGAAGGCTGGCTCTATTTATCATCAAAACAAAAACAAATGCCAGATTAGGTCATCAAACTGGGCGTGGGACAGGCGGAAGTACCGCTGACATCGGCCGTCATCCAGCGCAGCTCCTGGAGCGAGCAAATGGTGAAACTCGTCAAACGGTTCGCCTCCGAAGGGTCCGGTGGACACAAATACGGCGATGATGATCCCCACGCCGCTGTTCTAGCTCTCCAGAGCAAATACAGAGCGGTGAATCTCTCGATGAATGATCGATCAACATAAAAAAGATGGCCGCAAACGGGTTTCGGTTCAGACAGGCATGACGTGCGCAAATTTCGTTTCCACCTTTTGTTTTTTACGCGCGAATTAACACACAGTGGTCAAGCGTCAAACAAGACAAGGTAGACGCGAATTTGACACGCTATTTGCATCTGGTGTGAACGCACAGTAATGATGTCATGCACATGGTGGAGTGAATGATTTGAATGAGATCGAATTAACGCTACATGTTTTGCTGTAAATTACAGACATGGCATCTGAGGAATATTTATTTTGCTTTATTTCCAGATTCAATCATCGGCTTGTTCTTACGGACTAGATCTGAACGATCTGAAACGCAAGTGTCAAAGCGAATGGCGCAAGTAACTTTGTGGGCGGATCCCGGCGCTGTTGCTATTTTCCCGGCGGGATAAATGCCTCTTGCGCCTGGCGCAAATCTAAAAGGGGTTGTTCTGAAGTAGCTTCATTATTCATAGGTGTGGTTTGGGCGTAACGTGAAATAAACCAATCCGAGCGCCATCCAACATACCCTTTAAGAACAGGAGCGCATGTTGCATGACGGATTGTTATTATAACGGCGGGTTTACCAGGCGCGCGCCAGGAGCGTTCACAGCCGATGAGACCGAAGTTCTTGTCAGGAGAGTGAAAGACGGGGAGGAGAAACCCTCGCACCCTTGCCTGAGACATGCGCTTGTGTATAAAGTCATTTGCGCCGGGTGAGTCATTTCGTTAGAACGATGTTTTTGGGGAACACCGACTCGTTGAACAGCTGAGAATGACAGAACTTGCGACCATAGTTGGCTAACAATGCTTTTGGGAAACAGTGAAGCCCCTCCTTCTGAAAGGCACACTGTGCTCTGATTGGTCTGCTGGACCAGTGTGTTGTGATTGAAATATGAAATGCTTGATTCTTATTGGTCAGTTGTGACATTATGACATTCTAAGGTTAGTTATTTGCTGATCATAATAGCAATGCTGTGTAATGACTCTCATGCAGATATTTAAGGGCCGGCGCTTCGTTCATGTCTCTCGTATCCCACCGCGGATAGACATATTCTCTCTTGTTTCATTTAAATGCAGCCGCAGTTATTGACTGTATTTACTGTAAAATGAAACCATAGAGCTTCTGTATTAATACTAGGACTACACAGTAATATTGTTGGTGTTTTTCTTGTTGCTAGAATGATGCATTTGTTCACTGTAATGGATTGTAAGATAATAATCAGGCAAGCTTTCTTCTCATATTAATATCTAGCATCCCAGTCTTTATTTATGTTGTGAAAAGCTGTGTAATAAGTGATATGACTGTCCCATTAATGCCCGTCTTGTTTGAACTTGTTTGTTCATCTGGGCTCAAAGCTGCGTGCTATCACTCATAAAATTAATTTATTACCCGTACTTGATTTAATTGAAGTTTTTACATTTCAAATGAAATTAAACTTAAAGAAGTTAAGTTTCAGTTTAGTTGCATGAACACAATTTAGTTAGCTTAGGTCAAATTCATTTACTCTACTCTAGTATATTCAAGCTTGTTGGTAACACTTTACATGAAGGGGTGTGCATAAGACTGACATGATACATGTCATGAATATGAGGGAGGTGTTATGCTTGTTTAAGACATCTGTCATTAAGTGTCATTCTCTCAATTATGACATTTTTAATGCAAATACTATATATACTATAATAATGATACTATAGATATTATAATAAATCAGTTGTGACCAAGCATTCTGAAGACCTGTTGGTAAATGCTTTGACCATCACCCAGAAGTCCTGCTTTTCATTCTGGTCGTCTAGGCAGTCATTTTTGTATTCTGTGTCACACATCACTGGCGCTTTCATTACAAGGCAGGCTGACCCTGAGACTGGGGAGATCCTGATGCTGTGTCCATGGCCTCTCCACCCCTCCGGCCTCCTCTGGGCTTTTCCCGTAACCATTTCTTCTCAGCAAAAGCTATCATACTCCAAGACATGGGAAAGGGCCAACTGCCTCTCATCATCTGTATGAATAAAACAAGCGCAACAAAAGTTATTTGCCTTCAATCATATTGTTAGACCATTCAATAATGCATGGAAGTGCCATCCCTTTTCTTCATCTCTGGGTTTCTGGCCAGCGATGCTCCAGGTTGATTTGTTCAGTGCCATAATTGAGCTCATATATAAAGATATAGTATACAGCACCCTAGGAGACACCTGAGTTAGTGGTGAACGTAAATCTGATCTTTGGTCGGAAAAATCATGGTCTGAAAAGGTATGATATAAAAGTTGGTTGGTAAGTAGGTTGGTAAGCAGTTTGGCAAGTTGGTTTGTAAGTAGGTTGCTAAGTAGGTTGGTAAATAGGGTGTTAAGTAGGTTGGTAAGCAGGTTTGTAAGCAGGTCGGTTGGTAAGTAGGATTCTAAGCAGGTTGGTGAATTGGTTGGTAATTAGGTTGGTAGGTAGGTTTGTAAATAGGTTGGTAAGCTGGTTGGTAAGCAGGTTTGTAAATTGGTTGGTAATAGGTTGGTAAGCAGGTCTGTAAGATGGTTGGTAAGTAGGTTGGTAAGCAGGTTGGTAAGCTGGTTGGTAAGTTGGTTGGTAAGCAGATTGGTAAGTTGGTAGGTAGGTTAGGTGGGTTGGTTAGTTGGTAAGAAGGTTGGTAATTTGGTTGGTAATTTGGTTGGTAAGCAGGTTGGTAAGCAGGTTGTAAGCAGATTGGTAAGTAGGTTGGTAGGTAGGTTAGGTGGGTTGGTTAGTTAGTTGGTAAGAAGGTTGGTAAGTAGGTTGGTAATTTGGTTGGTAAGTAGGTTGGTAAATAGGTTGTAAGTAGGTTGGTAAGCAGGTTGTAAGCAGATTGGTAAGTTGGTTGGTAAGTAGGTTGGTTGGTACGTTGGTTGGTAAGTAGGTTGGTAACTAGGTTGGTAAGCAGGTTGGTAAGTAGGATTCTAAGCAGGTTGGTACTAAGTAGGTTGGTAGGTAGGTTAGGTGGGTTGGTTAGTTGGTATGTAGGTTGGTAAGCAGGGTGGTAAGTTGGTTGGTTGGTTGGTTGGTAGGTTAGGTGGGTTGGTAGGTTAAATGGGTTGGTTAGTTGGTATGTTGGTTGGTTGGTAGGTAGGTAAGGTGGGTTGGTTAGTTGGTATGTTGGTTGGTTGGTAGGTTGGTAGGTAGGTAACACGTGATGACAGTAAATTATACACAAAATACACTAAACCAAAAGCTAAGTATATGTTGGTAATTAGTGTTACTTTGGAGTATTTATGCAATTACAATGCAACAGAGACACATTAAAATAAATGGTTACATTTATGTTATTCATACAATTAAACCTAAAAAATTATACAAGTAAAGTGTACTTCCCACCTTTTCAGCCTGCTAAATGTTTAATTTCCAACAGCTTTAAACCCTTTCACCCTCAACTGATGTTTAACTCTCCCTGTATCGGCACACACACAGTAGCAAAAGCACTTAATTACAAAGCCGACCACAGTCGTTAATAACCTATAGTGCTAATATATGATAATGGTTTAGTAAGGAGCTGCGTGTGCCAATATTCCCTCTGCAAAATCCATTTTAATTTCACTATGCAAATGTAATCTTGTGTTCATAACAGAATAAATGAGGCTCTCTGTTAGTATGGACTGCAGGTGTCTGTTTTCTTGTAATGGTAATTTAAGTGACATACCTGATGATTATGTTATCCAATCTGTTTTTCTTTCTCTCAGTGTGAAATTAATAGGTTTCAAAATATAAGCGTGCATGCCGACCACTTCACACATATAACTTGTTTGTATATCGTAATGTCTTATGTCTTTTGTGAAATTTATGCTCAAAGCGGCAAAAAAACGAGAAGACAAGATCGTTTTTTTTTTTTTTTAGAGTATTTTAATCCAATCTCTAAATTGAGACTCCTTCATTACCAGCGGAGAGTCTTCGTCTTTAAAGTGCTCTCCTCTTCTGTTTGGTCTGTCTGGCTTGGCAGTAGTAGATAAACAGTGTGGCTTGTTCGCCGGGTTAATGATTAAACACATTTGCTCTGTGATTATTGAAGTGGAAAAAAAAGGATTAAAACAAATAGATGTGTGAAAAAGTAAAAATACTCCAGAGAGGATTATAAAACGGTCATTAAAGAAAGTCACTACTTTAAATAAACATACACATGTCAAGTGTATTTTTTTTTATATTAGAAATCGTTTTTATGTGACATTTTTAGTCAACTAGCAAATAGATCAATGTTATTTGGTATTGGTGAAAAGGTTATTTTAACCAAAGTGCTTGTCTCATTTTATAGTCATGAACCATACTTTGCTATTTGTTCATTTGTGTCTGTTTTTGTTTGTTTTTTTGGATATTAGCTGACCTCAAAATCTGACAGACATGCTCCAAAAGCCATAAAAGTCTCACAATTTCCATTTCTTTTGGTTCTTTCACATGACTTTCACATCAACATTCACCAATGATTTGAACTTTGGAAGTCTGCTACAACGCTACCCTAGGCCTAGCATGTTTGGAGTGAGTATGCTACGGAAAATAAACAAATAACAGTCACTGTCTAATTGTGAAACTCTGAAAGCAATAACGTAATGTAACATTTCAATAACGTAATCCAAGCAGTTTTTCTTCAATGATAAAAACACACAGTTTGCCCACACATTAATTTGGAGAAACGTTACACATTTCAAACCACTTTGCCCTTGTTTACCTCAAACATTTCAAACCACAGATTGTTAACATCTTACATGGTGTAACATTACTTGGTTGGTACCAAGATTAGCGGTGTGTAATCATCCTTTTTTTTGTTGTGCGTTTTAAACTCAAAAACATGGCTGTGCTTTCTCTAATTTTACTGTTTAGTGTGTTTACTTCCCATTTGCTGCCTATACCAACCTCATACAATCCAATCATGATATATGCATGTCAAAGCAGCACATGATGCTGTCTGTTAGTTATATTTGGCCTTATATCAGGCCTTTGCTTTGTTTTACATAAGTGCAACCAGATATATAAAATAGAAATCTGTAAGTTATCCCCATAGTATCCATTTAAATGAGCTCCTGAGGTCTTTGAGATTAAATTATTTTATTTGTATTGTTGGTTTGGTGTGATTTGGTTTCTACCAAATATATGTGCACACACAAAAGGTCATTATTATTTGGGTGGGTGTCATATCTTGCCTAGAGTACCAGAATCACCTCCAAATTGGGGATTCCCATTTCCAAACTCACAACTTAACTGATTACAAGAGTCAGAGAGAAAGAGGGAAATGGTTGCGAAAGAGTGTTTTAAAACTTAAATAAGCAAGAGGAATAAAATAATATGAGCCCTGACAAATCCTGTGAGCACTGCCATCTTAAACAAAGCTAGACCAGCATGTCAACGGCTGTTTTACAGTTCAGCCTGTTGTCAGACATGATTATATTAGTGAAAATCTACATGAACACTAGAGGAAAAGACAGAAACAAGAGAGGTGTTGAGAGACTAAAGAATCAAAGGAAGTAGAATCCGCGAAAAAAAAAAATGATAGAAAGTGACTGAAAAATGGGACATGTCGGGACGGGGATGATGAAAGGATAAAAGTACAGTAAAACCACATTTATTTATACAGAGCTCTTTACAATACAGATTGTTTCAAAGAAAATAGCGTCACAGTCCAGCTCAAGTGTTGTTTCATTTTTGTTGTAAAAAAGTTATTAATTTACTTCATTTACACATAGAGCCGCTCTGGAGAAAACCGTGATATCATCGTCCTGGGGTGTGTTTCCCAAAAGCTTCCTTAGCCAATTATGATGGCAAGTTCCGTCATTATCAGCAGTTCGACGAGTCTGTGTTTTCCGAAACCATCGTTCTAACGGACATTCACAAACAGCATCGCAGAGTTGTGTGTTTGGAGCGACAGCTCTCGGCCTGCGGTTAGAAGCAGTTTCATGAAACGTGGACTCAATAAATCCTTGAGGAAAATAAGCAAGCTGACATTCAGTACAACCGGTGCCTTTTATTTAGAATACATACAAATGCCATTTACGTCTTTTAGTTTGTCAAGAGATTTAAAGCAGCGTTTTCGAAGAGTGCACCTGTGTGAACGAGCTCTAGTGTGTAAGAACGAGCTGATGATTGAATCTGGAAATAAAGTAAAATAAAAAAATGAGAAAAATGTAATTTACAGTAGCAAAAAATCTAGTGTTAATTCTAATCTCAAACAGTTTCATTAAAACAAGTTATTTCTCCACCACGTGCGTGACATCACTAACCAACGTGGTTGAACGACCACTTTGCGACAGTGTGGTTTCGGGAAACAGTCGTGACTAGCTAGTTGATTTCTTCAATAATGCATCGTACTATGGTAGTGAAGCAGCGAGTTACGTCACTGTACGGGAAATACACCCCAGCTCCGTTCAGTTCTCATATAATTAGGGTTGGGTATCGTTTGAATTTGAACGATTCTGATTCCGATTCCGATTCCTTGTTTCGATTCCGGTTCCTTACGATTCTCGATTCCGATTCTTTTAAGAGGCAGGGTCATAAAAGTTTAGCTAACCTTGCCAACCAACAGTCTTTCTGAAGGAAATAATCCTTTCTGAAGGAAATACTCCTTCTGTCACAAATACTTGTCACAAATTTTGCATTTTGCAGAGATTTCGTTAATTTTTAGAAAAGTGAAGCCACACTTTGGACCGCCGACGTAAGCTACTCATGTTCGACTCGCGCGGTTATGCAAACACTTCCGGTAGACGCTTTTTCGTTGGTGTTGTTCAGCGGTTTCTTCTTCCGCTCGGCGGACTGTGAATATCGAAAGTAGGAATTGAAATTTTAACTTTTAAACGATTCCGGGAAAAACGAAAAGTTAGTCCCGGTTCCAATCGATACTCGATTCTCGATACCCAACCCTACATATAATGTTATCAATGCAGGCCGATCCATATTATTGTTGAATATTAAATTAAATGTTACTTAAATGGATGGACTGCATTTATATAGCGCTTTCATAGACCTAATGGCCACCAAAGCGCTTTACATTTTGCAAGGCGTCATCCAGCTCGTCGGGAGCAGCTGGGGTTAGATGTCTTGCTCATGGACACCTCGACACTTGGTCAGGTGGAACCGAGGATTGAACCACCAACCTTTCGGTTTGTAGACCACCCACCTGAGCCAAAAGCCAATGGCAACAAAGGGGAACAATTCGACAGTGGCAAGGAACCGAAACTCCATCAGTGACCGAATGGAGAATAAAACCTTGAGGCTCAGTCGCTCCATTCTCCACTAGCCAACAAACGAACAGTGTATGATCATGATTCAGGCAACGTTATAGCTCAGAGGTCAGATTGGATTGGACAATCAGAATATTATCCAGTTGCTTCTGGTTGAAGATCGGAGTCATCACGCCGTCACATAAAGTGAGGAATACAGGGAGACATCAGGAGACTTGAGTGAGCATTGGAGGCTTGTAGGAGACAGAAGAGTGAGATTGGCTGGGAGGGGAAAGCAAAGAGGCGTCAAGCTGTGAGTCAAAGCTGCCAAGGACTGATGTCATCACGAGGTGAAGGCGTCAAACGCAGCCCACGCTCCACGTCCCCTCACACACACACCCTTGGCTCCGATTGGTTACGAGTGCAATGGACCTGGGAGGGAGCAAGGCTGTGGCGTCCGTCTGAGGTCATCGCTGAGATTCACGCCAGCTTCTGGCTGACGTCTCTGGCGTTCACTGTGTGTGTGGTGGCGCACGTCCGCTTAGCCTCCGCTTCACTCTTAGCCGTGTCACGACGCTTTACACCTCTCTTTTATCTCCCTGGATGTGCTCGTGATTTCCACTGACAGACGAGTGATAGCAATCAGCCCGACCATCAATCCAGAGCTCAGCGTCGGAGAACCTGTAGTGGAGTCTTCCTTCATCTGCATCATCATCATCGGTGTAATTAGAGCTGCTCGCGAAGGCAGGCGTCACTGGGACTATTGCTGAGAGCATGTTGCCGACATGAATGATACCCCGAATTGTGCAGCAGTCTTTTTTTGATGAAATCCACACAAAACCCTGTAGACTCAAAAACTTGGGGTTAGGAAGAATCGTATGTAAGAGGAAAACCAGTAATATTATAAAATGACTCCTTTTTATTTTAAATGTAATTTATTTCTGAATTTTCAGCATCATATGATCCTTATGATTATAATATCCTGATTTGATGATAAAGAAACGGTTCCACTTTATCTCGATAGTCCACTTTAGACAATCTACTAACTATAAGGAACTTGTCCACTAACTCTCATTAGAGTATTAGTCGACTGTAGAGTGTTGGGTTATGGTTGGGGGTTAGGGTTCGGGTTAGAATACGTTGACTTGTAGTTGCCAAGTTATAGTCAGTACAATATCTGTTGGGGAGCATCAAAATAAAGTGTTAGCAGATATTAATCAGACAGTCGACTAATACTCTAATGACCGCTAGTTGACATGTAGTTGCAAAGTTACTCATAGTCAACAGAAATAAAGTGTTCCCAAAGAAACATTTCTTGTTGTTGTTATTAGTTGAAATGTCAGCATAATAACACAAAATTTGCTTTATCTTTATAATTCATGACACTTTAGCAATGGATGTTAATAATTATGTTTTTCATAGGGGTGATATCCAAAATTCAGACTTATTCACCAAAGTCTTACTTAGGCCAGAATAAAATACACCAAGACTGACCACATTGCATTAACTTTTTTCATGGGCAAACACCACTTTTGCGCATTTGCTTTAGTTTCCGTTCAAGTCCATACTCATATTATTTTTTTTTGGCAATTAGTAAAATTAGTATTTAAACAAAAGTGTTTTCCGTGGTCTTGAGAGAGATCGGAATCGTTAATGTCTCCACTTGAGGAACGAAGTGAGAGTTGATTGATTTGTACGTCTGACGGTTAGATTTATTCAGATTT